TTTTGGAGGCAGGGTTTCTCCATGTTGGCCAGGCTGGTCTCAAACTCCTGACCTCAAGTGATCCAAAGTGCTAGGATTACAGGCGTGAGCCACTGCACCCGACCTGTTTTGCCATTTTCATAAGATAATTTTTAGAACTCTAAAAAACCCACTTAATACTGATGTCTGGTGATGCCTCTTGTTTGATTTTCCAAAAATAAATCTTACTCTTTAAAAGGTTTCGGATCTGACAGAGAAATTAGAGGAGAGGATCTATCAGATTTATAATGACCACAACAAGATCATCCAGGAAAAGCTCCAGGAGTTCACCCAGAAAATGGCAAAGATCAGCCATTTGGAAACAGAGCTCAAACAAGTCTGCAACAGCGTGGAGACTGTGTACAAAGACCTGTGTCTCCAGCCTGAGGTATGACCAAACTCACCCCAGGGGTGCTGCCTGAGGAACAGAGCAGGGATGGCCCAGCCAAGAGCAAATGTGAGCAAAAACCAGGCACCCCACCCCTGAGCCCACCAGGCCACAGACCCTGCAAAGCCCTTCGTGCACTCGCCATCTTGTTTGTGGTCTCCTAATATTAGGTGTGTCTGAGCTGAGAAGCCAAACTGTTGTCATGTCCCACTGTTGTATGAGCAGCTCTATGGTGACGGAAAGGACAAAGTCCCCTGCACCCTGCCACTCAGAAACCATCCCCTCTGCCCACAGCCCTGAGCCCTGCAGCCCTGGCACAGCCTAGCACTACTAACCTGGGTTTCTTTTTTACAGCAGAGCCTAAGACTCAGACGGCCAGACCACTCTAGAGGAAAGTCCCCACCACGTCCCAGCGACTCACAGCCCCCAGACGTGTTCGTTTCTTCTGTGGCTGAAACTACTTCTCAGGTGGTTATCAGTTAACCGGCCTGACACCTTGGGGTCAGACGTGTAGCTCTTTATTTTCCTCTCCCTCACTCTACTCCAACATCCAGCATAAGGCAGTACCCCCAGGCAGGAGGCTGGGAGGGCACACTGTGAACTCGGTGTGAGGGGGTCTGCTGGAGCAGACGGAGTTGCTTCAATGTCACTCTCCTTTCAAGAGAAGCTGCTATTTCAGGGTAAATGGAGTTTGTTCTCATCCATGGTTAAAAGTGGATTGAGACACTCTACAGAGAATTCCATCTTCTTTTTAAGGAACACAGCTGAACGACTTCACAAGGGAAATTTTGATATTTAAAAATCAGTGTCTCTCACTTCCCACTCCATCCGCCACCTCCCTTGCTAAGCTCAGAGCACAGCGTTTCTGCGGTCCAACCAGGCATCGCTCCAGGAAGGGGCTTCAGAGTTTTGGGCCCCTGATGGAGAGGGCTCACTTGCTGGCCGTGAACGCCTGGATTCCTGTGATAGCTCTCCCAAGGATCAGGGCGTGAATGTCATGTGTACCTGGACAAGATTAATATAGAGTCAGTTTGGAGTCTTCACAGCTCACAACTTCCCTTTAAAATCAATTTTTATGTCCCCCCAGGCCACTGTTTTAGAAGAACAGACCCACAGAGATGGTGAGTGCTGACAGCTGCCGGGAGACCCACGCCTTAGTGACTGCCTCAAGGAGAATGCTGAGAGGCCACCATTTGGGCCACACTGAGAAATTATTTTTCAATTTTCTATAATGCATCTTGGCAGGAAAAAAAAACAAAACCCAAAGCTCCTTGTGCTGAACTCCCAAAATGCAGCAAGTCTAGCCCCTGCCGTGGGCCCAGCCTTCATGCTCCCCACACTTGGCAAGTTCACTGCCACCCCTACCTCCGTTGATTAAATGTTTGATTTTCAACCCGGCCATGCTTCCTTGCACAGGCTGAAAATACCCCTGAGCTCCAGGGCAACACGACAGGCCCTTTCTTACTCTCGGGAGGGCCCGGAGGGACAGCACATCAGAAATGCAGTCAGTTGCCTCTGCTGACCTCTGCCCACCTAAGGTCACCCCTCCCAGAGAGTCTCACACCCCATGACCTCAGGTCTCATCCTTTGCTCCTCCATGGCTCCTTGGGGCAGAAGGCAGATTGTAGCCTCCCTTTTTAGAGCCAATTCTGTTTACTTCCCAAAGCACAAATCTATTTTTTTTAGATAGGGTTTCACTCTGTCACCCAGGCTGGAGTGCAGTGGGGTGATCATAGCTCACTGTAACCTCAAACTCCTGGGCTCAAGCAATTTTCCCACCTCAGCCTCCCAAAGTGGTGAGATTGTAGGTGTGAACCACTATGCCCAGCCCCTAAAGCACCAAATCTGACCTATCCCCCCTCTGCATAAAACCATCTCACAGCCCCCTCTGCTTGTCCTCAGGGTCATTCCCACACTTGTAGGATCCCCCTAACCCCTAGCTGCCTAATAGATCTGGGGCTGTGGGGGTGCACGGGGAAGGTACCATGCCTGCATGTGCTATCCGGTCTGGAAGCCTCTCTGCCCTGGGGTCCTCATACCTCCCTTTTTTTTTTTTTTTGAGACAGA